TAATAATCATTCATTACTTGAAAACTATAGTTTGCCCTCTACACTGAGAGTTCTGCTATTACTCTTGTCAACTCAGGAATTGGAGAAGGCCAAACAACTTAACCTTAAAACATAGGAAGGCAAAGTCAAATCTATTGTCTTCCATGGGGAAGGAAATAGAAATTGCTATTCTATTCTAATATAACAGATAAGAATTCAGTCTAATTCATTTAATAGTCAAAATGTAGAAGGCAATATTTTGGGTGTTATGAACGATGCTCCTGGGAGTTTAAAAAATGTGATCCTCTATGTTTGCTAAATTTATAAGGAGAAAATGAGTATACAAAAGCCTATGTACAGAGCTGAAAACAACAAGTGGCACATTTGTGTAAGTGTATATGTGTATGGGTACGTTTATGTTTGGAATATATGGATGTGTGCACACATTTTCATATAGCGGCTCTTGGCTCTTGGCTTGGGGAAGGGACTGAAAACAGAAAACAGCTCAAGCTCTTCGTGAAGTGTCCTCTCTCTGCAAGCACGCACAAAACCCTTGCAGCAGAGAACCAGAGTTTCCGGCACCCACCGCAAAAGCTGGACTGTGGGCCTGCGAGTTTCTTCCTATTTATAGAGAAAGGGCACTTTCTAGGTGAATTCTATTTTTCAACTCAAATCAACTTCTGAATTAGTTTAAATCTTTACACTTTTGGAAACACAAGCATTAGATCACTACAAGAAGGCGTCACTTGAACTCAAAGCTACTGAGCATTGGCAAGGTTGATACTTTGAAGACAGACTTTTTTTTTCCTAGCTAAAAATAAATTTATAAACAACATATATTAAAATAATTAACAGATGATAACCTAAGGTTTGGAGTAACAAAATATTACTACAATTTTAAAGACTGAATTAAACCAAGAGGCAAACTAATTTTTTTGCTTTATAAAAAAATCATTATGGGGAGCCTGGGTGGCTCAGTCAGTTAAGCATCTGCCTTTGGCTCAGGTCTGATCCCGGAGTCCTGGGATCGAGTCCCCACATCAGGCTTTCTGCTCAGCAGGGTAGTCTGCTTCTCCCTCTTCCTCTGCCCCTGTTCATGCTCTCTCTCTCTCTCTCTCAAATAAATAAATAAAATCTCAAAAAAAAAAGAAAAAGAAAAAGAAAAATCATTACAGCTCACTTCCTTTAAACCATGGCATTATTTAGAGACTATTTCCAGCTCCTTTCCATGGCCTTTGACTCACCAAATACAGACTAACCTCTCCTGACACCAGAACCTTCTATCCCAAGGCTTTTCTTAGTGGAAAAGGTGAAAACAAGGGGATACCAAGAGCAGGTGCTTAAAAATCAGATCTGGGACAGGAATCTATTTAGCAAAGGCCCAGGAAAGGCCTGAAATATTCATGCGACTCCTGACACCAAGGAATCATCTGGTCTGTCCCCACTACGCAACACAACTAGGAGAAGGAGCATGCTCTAATGTAGCTTCACACTTAACCAGATGAATGTGGTGTGTACAACACCTGCATGGGAAGACGGAAGGGTGGGGAGTGTTCCTGCTACTCCCCAGCCCTGATTCCTGCAGTTGGGGAGTAGGGACTGGGAGCAGAGGCTCTTGAGGGCCACCACGTCAACACCACCAGTTATGACGGACACCATCATGTCAGTGAAAAGATACTACTTAATGCCAAACAGAGATGGAAAATTCATCGTAAGCTTGCACCTTATTTTTATTTACTTATTTCCATCTCGATGAAATTTTTTCCTCAACTGTGGAAAAATCCAGCAAGAGAACTGATCAGTGGCAAGTTAAACTGAAACATTTATCGTATGCGAAAGGCCTTTCCTCACTCTGTTTGCAGGTCGCCTTTCAATAAAAATCCAACAGAAAGAACACTTTCTCCATTGACTTGGAAAGAGTCCTACTTTACTAAAGAAGCTGAGGGGGGAAAAAAAACACCTCTAGTTCCATACTGTCATTCATAAAAAATGACTTCCATATAAGCATCATTGTATTGCACACGGAGACCTTTTGGTAAAATGATACGCAGGACGTTAGTCAGACTTAGAAATAGGAAAGCCAGAAGTACACTATGGAACTAAAGTCTAAACCCTTCTCTGGTGGGGGAAGATATTATTTCCTTTGATAATTATGTCTCCCTGTCACTCATGTTTCTTGACATGTCAGATATTTTTAATGGTACAAAACCCCCAAATTTCTCCTTTTTATTATCCCAAGTGTCAACACAACTAATTTAAATTGTGATTGCTTTTATTAAAAAATGTTTTTAAATGATAGGTGACAGACAAAACTTTTAGAACCAAAAATGATTAACTTTATTTTAAAAATACAATTAAGATATTTCTAAATTATTTTAAAATGATATCCTAAATTTCCTAAATAGTATCCTAATAACGGCTTTAAGCACAGAATAGAAGATAATACAAGAATTGTTACTGAAAGCCTCTCACGTAGTGTGTTTCGTTATTCAGAATCTCTTACAAGCCGGAACTGTGAATTAACCAAATTATACAGAGGGGTGGCTGGCAAAAAGTTAACATTTTAAAAGAAAATGAGGCCAAATGTCAACAATTGGAGTTCAGAAATCACACTTTAAACTAACCAATAGATCATTAATCTCCTTGAAATTACTTGTATCAAAGATCTTAAAAAGCTAAAAACATGTAATTTAAATATGTTAAAATATCCATGTCCCCTATCGCAGCACATTGCTTATTAGAGTGTGAAATCAAGCATTACCACACCATTTCTGCCTGATGAGATAATTTTGGTTTTCTTGGGAATATAATGCCAATACATTTATTTTTCCCAGGAGATAATTTTGCTTTTCATTTTGAAAGAAACAAATATTTTGACCAGTCCCAGGTTTGTTGAATTAGAAAAATATAAAATGAAAGATTGAAATAAGTATAAGAACCAATTTATTTTTAAAATATCGGGCAAATCTAGAGCAAGTAAACAATTTTCAAAGACAGGCTAAATGGATATTTCATTGATACTTTTGCTGACACTTTTATATTATTCTTGAGAAAAATAACTTAAAATCAACTTTTGTAAGGTTATAAGTCTAAATAATGTTTCTACTATTGATTTTTATATTTGGTTTATTCCCTTCTCTATTTTACATAAGGAGGAGTCCTTAGGCCACAAACAGAATCAGATATTTTAATGACCGCACAGACACCCCCCCCCAACTTTTTCATTTTCTTTTTGTTTTAATCTGGGCTTATGGAAAAACTATATCCCTTACATCCCTAAGCTTAGAACTTTCAATATGTATTTTTCATGTATTTGCCTGAGCACTCTTTCACTTTCTATATATAGTTCACTGTGACTAATGTCAGTAAACAAATAAAAATCCAGCTATGTTATATCAAAACCAAGTTTGGAAGTTTTTCGGTCTATATTATCCCGAATTATTACTTTGCCTAACTTCTCACTTTTCACCACATAGTTTTGGCACTGCATAGACCAGCTTTGGCATTTGTAAGAAGGTAGAATTTAAAAGCAATAGCAAATTACTGCTAATTTCTTCTTGATGGGTGCTATTAACACCTATTATTAACATCAGTAAGAGTAACAAGGTTATATTCAAGACAAAATATCAGCCTAGTCTGTATCATTAGAAACAAATGGAAACTTGGGGAAAGAATTTTAACATACTAGTAAAAATATGGAATTTTTTTGTGCTGTTCTCTTACGAAGTGAATCACAACCATAAATCAGAAACAGCTTTTGAAAATAAGAATGATTATTAAGCTCTTCTAAAGGCAACTGTGAACTTGTCACTCACTTGGAATATTTCTACCTTAAAAAACAGTAATGCCTTACATGTAATTTCCTTAAGAAAAGCAAACACTTTAAAATGCAAAAAAAAAATTGTATTTTGCCCTAAGTGTAAAAATAAATATTTCACTAAAGAGTGGAAAAACAATGAAGCACATTTAAATAATTTTATTGCACTGGAAGTTGCCAATTCGTCTATGAGTAGGTTCATTGCAGATGAAAAGAAATCAAAATACAGGACAGATGTTGAACAAACCGCATTTAAGTTCTGTCACACACTGGCATTTTTCAAATGATTTTGGCTCATCTATTAAATAAGGTGTGTTTTGCTTGATTTTGAAAAGGGAAACATCAGGAAATATTTAAAGGCCAATTGCTGCCAATTAACTTTGATCAGTAAGAGTTCTATTTGAATCTTTCAGATTCTTCTCCTGTCTGAAATAACATACATTTATAAAATCTACCCAAGCAACAACTTGATGATTAATGCCTGTTGGCAGGCCTACCACAAGCTTGCTTAACAGCAGGATTTAAATAAACAACTGTCTCTATTAAGAAGAGAGTGAAGTGTAGTGATAGTCCTGTGTTCTCATGATGGAGATAGGAGAAACAATATTCGTTATTTTAAGAATGCTGCTAATTGAGGTTGCCATGTTTGACAGTGCCCGTAACATAATTAATTAACCATCTTACAAAAGATCCCCCCCGGAATTATAACGAGCAAATAAAATCATCAGCAGTTTGATGTAAGAAATTCCAGCAACACCAAAAGCAGAGGCCTGACTGAAATGTTATACAATTGGGCCAACCAGAAAGACAAGCAGCTGACCCAATAGGATAAAGGTCTGACCCCTACAGTGTAGGCCAGTATCACAACTTTGCGGGATTCGGAAGGTAACCCATCTCAACAGTAATTATGGAGCTGAGCAATCTGTAGTTTCTGATATCCACACAGTTTAACATCTAAGATTCTTGGCATCAAATTTGAATCCTTACCAAGGGTCACACGGAATCTAACCTTGAAAGGCAACAGTCAAAATAAAGCAAAATCAGAAATACAGTGAAGGCAAACATACTACCATATAAGCAATAATTATCTCATTATTCTAGTTATATATTCACGAAATAGTAATATCTCATTGGTATTTTCAGACCACTCATCAATTTTCAGACATGCACCAGGAAGTGTGTATACAAAATAATCAGAACTTACTTCTAAGTCATTGAAAAACAGATGTGTGTCTGCCAAGTTGAAAATCATTTCTTCCATTCGTAGTCCAAGGGAAACTGATGTAGGTGGATCCTAAAAGAAAAATTTTTCCGGTCAAGAACATATATACTTCAGGTTCATGGAATATAGTGTAACAATAGGGGGACTCGGGATGGAGAATGGCTGAGAGCAAGAAACTCATCGGTAGGTTGGGGCTCCAGCAGCTTTTGGACTACATGATCCAACTCCAGGGCGCAGACTTCAGGGGCTTATTTAATAAGTGACCCAAATGTTGTTGGCACTTTGCATAATGAAGAAATAATCTGCTGCGTAAAATATTACAAAAATATAAAATCTAGGGTCACTTAGACATATAAAGTAGAGGAAATTTAGTTTCATACGTCTGTTTCAGGAGCAAGAAAGTCAGTGGCTGGAGAAGGCATTATTTATGTTATGCCACAACCCGTTAAGAGTATCTAAAAGCATGGCTACAAAAAAGGGAAAATAGATACAATATAGATTAATTTCAGAGGGGCAATAAATACTATTTCTACTCCAGATGATAACTATCATTATTTCTTATTTATTCAGACTGCCTGCCAATTTTGAGTATACTCATAGTAGGAAGTGATGGCCATTCTGACCACCTGGCACCATGCCCAGCTCAGGGAGCTAATCCTGACATTCATGTGACACTATCCCATTATCAAATAGCCAGTCCCCTACACAAAGGGGAATACCAGCATTCTGAAATGTACAATGGCTTCCATCCAAAACTTCAAGCCTTGGACACTAGTGATGAGCAGTCTGTCTCATCCAACCCATATCCTGAGGACATCTACTGGCACTGAGATGAACTCAGGGGCTATGGAAATATTTGCAGTTTTTATGGTGTTAGTGTTTTGATAATGTATCAAATCCAGGAAACACCATGGTTTGTGGTGAAGACCCTGCATAATAAGCGAGGAAGGAAAAAATGTCCGTAAAGTATACAAAGATGTGATGTGAGTTTTTGAAGGTTTTACTGGCATTCTAACAACAATATTGGCTTTTACAACTATGACATTTTAAACATTTTCAAACAATAATTTCTGAATACTATTTTATTCTTACAGCAAACCTTTGGAATAAGTACAGAATCCACCTGTATCATCGTTTAACTAGGGAAGTTTTAACTGGAGAAATTATGGCTTCACATGTCACCTACCTGTTGGCGTACACCCTGTGTATCTACACTGTCCGGCATAAACCTTGTATGTTTCGTGTATTGTCTTCTGAGCATACTACCTTCATTCCAAAGCTCAAGACTTGTCTGTGTCCTGCCCCCTACTCTCCCTGTAACTGTAATCTATCAAGCCCTTGAGTACTGACCTCAAGTTATCATCTCCTCACGGACTTCAGGAAAGAGCCGCAAGCTCTGGAAGAAGAGCTCTGGATCCAGGCTCCAGGCTTGACCTTTGCTCTCCCACTTTGGTGTCCTTACCTCCTTGATCTTCAGTTTGCTCATCTAACAAATCAGACGGCTAACTGACAAGCACTTTGTTCTCACGTACAATTAAAAAAAAAAATTATCGTCTCTTAATTGGACACAATCATACCTGTTTGTACACCTTGGAGAGAGCCGGAGCCTGGGAAGGAGGGATGTGGGCGGAGACTGGTTAGCTATCAGGGCCAATCAGCTGGCCAGGTAGGAGGAGTCAACCCCGCCCCTGCACCGCCCACTCCGCTGGCACTGCCCACACCCTGCCAGCAAGCCAGTCGTCTACCTTTCAGGAGTCGCAGAGGAGGGACAGCTGAGGGTTTGGGAAAATAGGGCAGGGTGACATTGCTGGTCTCAATTCCTGTCTCTTCCGGCTGACCGACAGCGGCAAGGAGGCAGAAGACACAGTGTTGCCAAAAGTCAGGGGTTAGACGGCAAAGGGGCAAAGCAAACACCCCAGGGTTTATAACAGGGCAGAGGGGAAAGAAAGAGAGAAGAACTGAGTGTTCAAGAGCTGGGTAGGGAAGAACAACTAAAAATACTTCCCTCAGATTTCCTGTTTGATGAGTCCTATTCCTTAGCATTCTTTAAATTGTCCCTGCTTGGGGCGCCTGGGTGGCTCAGTCGTTCAGCGTCTGCCTTCGGCTCAGGTCATGATCCGGGGGTTCTGGGATCGAGCCCCGCATCGGGCTCCTGCTCAGCGGGGAGCCTGCTTCTCCCTCTCCCACTCCCCCTGCTTGTGTTCCCTCTATTGCTGTCTCTGTCTGTCAAATAAATAAATTAAAAAAAAAAAAATCTTTAAATTGTCCCTGCTTAATACCACCTAAAATCCATGGATTTTGTAGGTTGTAGAAGAATTAAAAACAGTTCACAAGTAAAGAGAAACTGTCCCTGAATCTTAGTTTTATAAGAAATTGCTCACTCACTTGGATTCCAAATCAGTAAAGTGTGCCGGAAAAAGCAAATGCTCAAATATACCCTAGAGCAGAAATAACTAGTAGAAGTTCAAACAGCTGTTTCTAAAACAAAACACCTGACTAAGGTGTTTACTCCCTCTAGCTCAGGCTAATAAAAATACACTGACTTCTCTCATAACCATGGCAATGAATCTTTTTATGTGGCAAGGTGGAAGAGACTCACCACATTTATTTAATTGCCAATTCTGGAATTTATGTGCCATGGTATTGTTACTTTTGAAAAAGTATGATTTCTCCTTGATAAGGTTGCTTCCTTATACCACCATCAAAAGAATTACTCCATTGTTTGTTAATATATAGCATACTTTAACTTTACTTCATAAATTACAGTAATGACTTGCTAGTCGGAATACTAATAAATTTTAAAGGCTTGTTCAGTCCTGTGGTCAAATACAACACAGATGTTGGCCTTATTTACCTTTTAATGTTTTTCTCCTTTGTTATCAGCTGTCCTTCCATAAGTTTTTATACCTGCCTCTCTCCACAGTACTGTTATGAACCATTTACTACACCGAAAGAACAGTTTGACAGTGAACTGGAATGAGAGAATTTTAGAATAGGAAGGGGCTCTAGTTGAGAACACTGTTTCTCAAACATTCCATGGTCAAAAATACACTTTACGTGATGATCTAGTATTCTCTCTCTCCTTCTTTCTTCCTCTGTCTGTCCCTCTTTCCCCACTCCCCCGTCTGTCTCTCCCACAAAAAGAGCTGAAATATAACTTTGTCAAAACAAGACGTTACCCACTGTGTGGAGTGCACTCTGATAATTTTCCATTTCATGGCCCCCTAATGTATCAAGATCTATAGTTTGAAAAGAAGAGCTCTAGAGTATACCCACTTGTGATTTTAGAGACAGGGAAATAGGGTTGCAGCACTACTGTGATTTGCTCGTGGTACAGGGCTGGCTGGCAGGGCGCACAGCCGCCTCACTCAGAGTGGTTTACTTAAGAGGAAACTAGCAAATAGATAACCGTGTTCATAGGTTTGCTTACACTGGAGTTCTCATTTTGAGGTGAAATTTATTTTATAAAAATCTCGTAATACTTTCAGATTTTTCAAATATGTCTGATACAAGTCAAATGTGACAAAAGCTAACATTGAACAGTTAATAAATTAGTCATAGTTTGATGGCTTATTTTGGCATATTTAAAGGAAGAAAAAACCCACAGTTTTTAGACCAAAGCTGAGACATTAAAATCACCACGTCTTTGGCTTAATCTTACTTTTCTTGTGCTTTGCAATAACAAATTCCATAGCAGCAGTTATAAAATGGTTGCTTTTATAAAACCATTTTTTTGTTATATTACTTTTGAAAACTTATTTAGAACTTTGCCTCCACTTCCAAGAAACATGTCATTTAAGTAAACCTTGTTGCCAAATGTCTCCATTTTTTTCTGAACTTGCCCCTCTGTGGCACTTGTCACTGTTGTTCAATATCTTCTTGACATTTCTCCTACCTGGTGCCTATAACATCATCAATATTTTTTGAGGTATCTTTCTAGAATCTGAGTACCCATCATCGATCCCTTAAATGATATGGGCCCCTGGGACTGTTTTATCCATTCCTCAGTTTTGGGGTCTGCCTTACAGACCCCAACACACTCATGGCTTCAACCATCACCCCACTCCCTTCTACTAAATCTTAGATCTCAACTGTAGGCCCACATATCAATTACCTGGGGGTCATTTCTAGCTGGATGTCCCATACAGCATCTGAAACTCAATGTGCTGCAAGTTGGATTCATCATAGTTCCTCTGGAAATCTACTGTTTTCCTTCTTTAGGAGAATGGCAACCTACCAGCCCCAAACCTTGGCATGATTTTAAAGAGCCTCTCTTTACCCCACATCAAATCAATCATGACATCTTGCCACTTGGATCTGGAATTTATGCCTTCCTTATATTCACTACCTCCACCTCCCGGCCCCCCCCCCCAACCGCCCCCAGCCATTGCCTCCTCTGTGGATATCTGTGATAGTCTTCTTTCCTGGGCTCTATGCCCAGGCTCTCACTATGACAATGTCACTCTCCCATCTCTTTTAGAAAACATCCAAACACTTCAACAAGTACTAAAGGCCCATAAGTGTCACTATTGCTTACCTCCCTAACATGTGAGCAATTCATAGTTTTTCAAACTATTGTTTTTTATATTGAAATCTTTTCTTCAAAAGATGACTAGGCAGAGGCCTTATATGAAAGAGGGGGGTCTTTCAGATGTCCATTGACAGATGAATGGATAAAGAAGATGTGGTGTGTGTATATACACGCACACACGCGCACACACACACACACACGGGAATATTACTCAGCCATCAAAAAGAATGAAATCTTGCCATTTGCAATGATGTGGATGGAGCTAGAGTGTATTATGCTAAATGAAATAAGTCAGAGAAAGACAAATACCATATGATTTCACTCATGTGGAATTTAAGAAACAAAACATATGAACATAGGGGAAGGGAAGGAAAAATAAAATAAGAGGAAAACAGAGAGGGAGGCAAACCTAAGAGATTCTTAACTACAGGAACAAACTGAGGGTTGCTAGAGGGGGCTGGGTGGGGGGATGGTGTAATTGGGTGATGGGCATTAAGGAGAGTGCTGGAAGTAATGAGCACTGGGTATTATTTGCAACTGA